TTCTTTCTTTCTTTCTTTCGTTCTTTCTTTCGTTCTTTCTTTCTTTCGTTCTTTCTTTCGTTCTTTCTTTCTTTCTTTCTTTCTTTCTTTCGTTCTTTCTTTCTTTCTTTCGTTCTTTCTTTCTTTGTCTTTCATTCCCTTCCCATATCTCTGTTCCTGCTGTTCTTCTCCCTCTCTCTGCATCTCTTTATTTTTTTCCTTGCCTCAGGTTCTGTTTCCCTCTCGCTAACTTGGCATCCATTTTCATTTTCCACGTTTACTCTGTTTTCTCTCTTTCTATTTTCTTACACACGCTGCCTACCCCAGTCTCTATTTTGCTGTTCTTTGCATCTGAAGCCATACTTAACCACAAGGGAGTGTGCATAATACAGATGATTCCTCCTGGAAGCACGGCACTTGAGCTAAATATGGATGAACTGTCGGTGATCAGTCTTTTACATTGCCAGTGTACGCTGGTAGGAGTGCAGAGCTGTTGTACCAGGCAGCAGAATATTGACACAAAATTTAGAAACCTTTCTTTTACCGTCTCTGGATTCCAAGCATCTTTAAAGTTTAGTGTTTTGGGGATTTAAGGCGTGGTCTGAATTTAAATGGAGACTTAAATATTTCTGCAGCTATCTATTATCCTATATGTAACAAGGCTCATGATATAAGATAAGAGCTTGAAGATAAGCTGGTTGAAATAGTTTCAGTGCACTGACTGACCCATGATGATAACTGTTATCTGTGACTACGTGCTGTGTAACATCACCTCCTCCTTTGTTAGGTGTCGTGATTGCTGTGGGATATTTTGTATTTGCGTGTGTTAATCTGCACCCACTCTGTGTTTGCTCTGCTTGCTAAGGTTTATACTGATCCTAAACAGGCATGTCTTCTTATTTAAAAAAGCAAAATACTGCCGATGCTGGAAATTTTGAAATTTTGAAATTTAAAAAAAAATGCTGTAACTACTCAACAGATCACACCGCTTCTGTGGGAAAAGAAACAAAGAGTTGCTTTTTCAGGTCTGCCACTCTTCATTCAGAGGAAGAGTCATCTGAAATATTAACTCTGTGCCCCTGTCTTCTGTCTTTATGTCCTTTTAAGATGGAAGTCAAATTTAGGGAAGAAGGGTGCTCACTGACCTGGGGGATCTTCAACTATGAAAGCCGCAACTTTGAAGTCACTTGATGTTTGATCCAGAGGTGCCTCGCCCTAGGCACATGAGCTACCAGCTGGAATAGTCAGTAGCTCCAGATACTACCTGTGGGTCAGGTTTTAGAGTGCAAGACACTCCCTCAGCTGTCACATCAGTCACTTCTCAGACAAGTATATCCTGAGTTAGAAACCGTGTAAAAGTCTAGACTGTCCTGTTGAACACTTTGAGCTCCATTACAGCATGGAATGGATATGGATGGAAAGCTTCCTCTACAGTGTCCAATTAAACACTCCCTGTACAAGTACTTCCCTGTTAGCAGTGCAGGTAGCAAATGCATTTTGTTCCACATCTCTTTCTTTATGTAACTTCGTGTCATAGTGAATAGTTTGAGAATCTTGCAACACGTTCATGTATCCATGGAACAATTTGTGTAAGCTATGGCGTGTGCGATGCCTATCAGGCAGTATGAATGTAATCTCGGGGTATACTGTATGTGGGTCAATGTGTGTACAATTAATGGGAGGATGTGGTGAGGTACGTGCATGGGTTTTATGACAATTGATGCATCGATTGGGAATAGCTCCTCACCTGTTGAAGTAAATTTTTTGCTTTTTACTTTCAGGCCATTCTGTGTCGGGTGAATGAGACCAGCAAGAAACTGATGGCCTTGCCGCTGGTGAAGGAACATAACCCAACCCAGTATGATGAGAGGATGAGAATTCAAAAAGCAGGGGGCACAGTTAGGTGAGGAGTAAATCTAAAGATGATTTGTGTAGAAATGTAGACAGATCAAACACACGTGATTACACAAGGAAATTAAGTGGGCAGTGCAATCTGTATCTTTCTTACCAGATATGAATTATCAGGTCAGTTTGCAAGGAAATAGAAATATAAAATCATATACTTCTCCTGCTATGTGTGTGGTGCAGTACAATCCTAATGATGCTGAAACTTAGCCGCACCAAAATAAATCTTCATTTTCTGAATAAGTGTCTCTTCAGTATTCCGAGACAGGAGCCAACTAATAGTGTAATATGCAGTTGAATGTGGAATGAGCTCCATTTAGCAGTATTCTCCAGGAGCCGTCTAGTAAAGATAAACAAGGCAGATGATTGAGCATTTAGATCAGTTGTGAGAGAGATTTTTGAGTTCGGAGTTCAAACCAGGCGATGCTAAAGTCTATTACAGAGCATTTAAATCAGTAGCAGTTCCTGGAATTATAGCTATGCTAGTTTGAAACAGGCCATTCAGCCCATTGGACTTTCTCAACCTCTGTAAAAACAGCCCTTGATTCATTCAACTGCTGCACTGTTGTCTGATAATCCTTTTTTTTTAATCTTCTTAAATACTACCTATCCTTTAAGAAGAAGGAGAGGTATTGGTTACTGAACTGTTTCCTTTGTCGAAGTATTTCATGTGCTTAACAGCGCTCTACAATTTAATAAAATTTCTCTAAAATTCTCCCTTTGACTCCTCATCACTGACTTTCTGGTCAGTAATATTTCTTTTCTGAAGAAGGGTCTAGACCCGAAACATCAGCTTTCCTGCTCCTCGGCCTGCTGTGTTCATCCAACTCTACATCTTGTTATCTCAGATTCTCCAGCATCGGCAGTTCCTACTATCTCAGTAATATTTCTTTACCTCATTGGAGTTCTTCCTTATGGAACCTTAATTTTGCCACCCTTAGTAACAAGACAAACCTACAATCTCATTTCTTGCAAAATCTGTAAAAAATAAAAGCAAACATTTACTTTATCTCTGCCACACCTGCATCTATCAAAACTGCATTTCCACATGTATGCTGACAAGATCCAGCTCTACTTCTCCTACACCTGTCAATCCTCCACAGCCTCTGTATTTTTTCACTTCTTTCCTCATGGGTGTTCTATTGTCCGAAAATGCCGCCTTCAGTACTACAATACTGCTCAATCTGCCTACTCCCCTTAAATAAGACTATGGCTTATATATTTAGATAAGCCAATCTCGCATGGCCCCACAAGTCTCTTAGTAACGATATTTTCAAAAGCGTTTCTGATCATTTCCTTGTGCTGCTCTGTACAAATGTTGCCTCTCACCCATTCCCAAAACCTTTGCCAGGTACCTGACAGCTGCACTTTCAAATTCCCAACTTTTAGTCTTTGCCCTCCATTCGCCAAGATATTTTGGAAAATCAGATTGCTGGCTACCGCCACTTTTGAGGCTCAAGGCCACATTAAAACATTGTTCCTCGACTTGATTATCATTTGGTGCAGTCCTCACCTTTGCATCCTTACATCATTTCTCCAAAATGTCCAAAGAATCATCGGTGAAGATTTCTCCTCTGAATCCCACACAGTTGCTTATGGACTCTGCCAAAGATCTTTGCTCCTCTCTCTCATTTCTCATTTACGTGCTGCCCCTTGGCAACATCATTCATAAATGCAATGTTGAGTTCCATGTGCATGCAGACAACATCTAGCTTTATCCTGACAACTGTATTGTCCCCAATTTACTGTCACCCACATCCAGTACTGGTTGAGCAATCCCCAAATAAATATTGGGAAGGCTGTATCTAGTCTCTTCCATAACATCTATTTCCATACCATACTTGTGACTGAGAGACTGAACCGCACTAATGCATTCTTTGTGCCACTTGTTGCAGAGTCGAATATCTAACTGCATAATCACGTTATTCATCAGGATTATCTACTTTTCACCTCCATATTATTGCAGGATCTGAGTCTGCTGTTAGCTTTAGAATTGGCTGTTCCAATGTATTGCTGGCTAGCCTCCCAGATCAATAATCTCAAATAATCCCACTCAATAATCTTTGCATCATTCAAAATTTGTACTGTTTACCCATTTCTCTTGTGGTCACTGGTCTTCATTAGCTCCTGGTTAAGAAATGTCTTGATTTGTTTCATTCCACCATAGGTGGTCCTACCTTCAGCTGTCAAGGTCCTAAATTCTTGACTTGCTTCCTAAACCACCCCACCTCATTCCCTCTCCTTCCTCTAAAGCACTGCTTAACACCTATCATTTTGATCAAGCTTTTGGTCATCTGTCCTAATGTTCTTTATGTTATGATCCCATCTGATAGTCGTACAGGACAGATCAGATCTTAGAATGATGCCTAGCTTGATGGATCATGTGTTTAACTTTTGCTGTTGGTTGCCATAGGGATTAACCACTGAAACCTGTTCAAATGAGGCTGTAAATGTTCTATAACAAAATAACAGAAGTTTAGCAAAAGAAAAACAATGTGTATATATACTCCTACATTAGACAGTTAGAAAGATCTTGATGCAAACTGCAAAACAAAGTTTCAATCTATTCCCAACAGATTTTACAGATATTCAATTCCAGAGAAAATTCACGTTTATCTGTGACTTTTCCCAGTTTCTTTTCCTTGGACTACAGAGACAGGTTTATGATTTCTTTCTGAGTTGTCTTCTCATGAATCTTTTTACATTTCTGATGGCTGAAATTAACGTTTTCAGTTCCAAGTTCTCTTGGGTCGGAAGCTCCACAAACAGGAATATTCGCTTTAATGTGATTGGTTCCCCTGAACTGAAAGTTTGATTCTCCTGCCAGGAGAAGATATTTTCTTTTCTGAACTGAACTGAACTAATTATTTTGAACTGAGACCTTGAAGCTACTGCTCTAAAATCAAAACTAAACTAATGATTTTCTAGTCTGTTGTAAACTCAGCATTATAAACATTGCATCCATTGACAGTACATCGGTTCTCTTTGGCGCTTGACTGCAATTGTATACTTTCTTGGATTTGGTGCAATTAGGTCAATATTCCAAATGACTTTGACCTTTTCTTTTTAAAAAAGCAATTCCCTGAACAGAACTGATCCACATCTATCTGCCTCTGTCTTAAAATCCAAAACCGCAAAAACAACATACACCTTTCATCACATCTTCTCTCACTCAGTATCAAATATGGTTTGATAACACTCCAGTTAAGTACATTAGGACATTGTATGCATTTAAGGGTGTTATAGAAGAGCAAAATATTGGTGTTTATCCAGAATAAACTAGGAATCACCTCTGTAGTTCCACGTTTGATGGCATTTATTGCTACAAAGAAGCTGCATAAAGGGGTCTGTTTTTTAACATAGTGAAGTGAATGGAGAAATGGACAAATTATTGACTGGATCATGTCGATGAACAGGCAAATATGATCTCAATGTTGTTGTAATATGGATCTTGTGATTGGAACACAGTTTGACTCTGATGTTTCATTAGCTGATTAATTTGGCCCTGTGTAGCTTGTGCCTCACAGTGACCTAGCTTATGGTGCAGAGCGATTCCTCTAAGCTCTGATGGAGTCATCACTTGCCACTTGGCTAATCTGGAAGCTTTTGAGCCCTTCCTGTCGTGATGTGTGAAGGTGATGTACATAGTGATCAACACTGAGCTCCTCTGCTTAAGTGTCCCAGGTCTGCCCTTGATTTGTTGTTTGTCTGAAAATGTACTTGTTCTGTTAACCTTATCACGTGGCAGGTAGGCTTCCAATTTTGGAACGTTCAGCAGCAAAGCCCATGAATCTCCCTATCAATACACAATGCCGCTTTTTGACTGGGCCTCCTATGTAGAAGTAAATTCTTGATTGGCCGTAATTTATGGTGACAGATTTGTCAAGCTGAGGAACATCAGTGTTACAGGAATGCAACACTCACAGTGTCATGCTCACCCAGTGAGATGGTGTGTTATTACACACTAGGAAAACAAACAGTCCATTGGAATAAAATCGTCCACTTCTGCCACACGGATGACAAACACGATTGGGTGCACCACAAGACTAATGCTATTGCAGCCAGTAAAACTATAAACATAGAAAATAGGTGTACAAGTTAACTATTCAACACTCCGAATCCTGCCGTACCATTTCAATATCATGGTTGGCTGATCGTCCAACTGGAAACCCTGTTCCTGCTTCTTCCGCAAACCCTTAGATTCCTTCAGACAGTAACAATGATTGTATAGAATTTTACAGCGCTGAAACAGGCCATTCCTCCCAACTATTCCATCTTGATGTTGTTAGGTGTCCCCGAGCGTCCCCTCAACTTCTTTCAACCTATTCTATTAACTGTTCCAATTTTTTCTAGCTCAAGAACTTGTATAGCTTCCTCTTAAATGCTTTTGGGCTATTTCTCTTTGTCATTCCGTGTTAATCTTATCCATCACTCTGCACCTGGATTCCTGCTGTGTTAGCAGTGACAATTTGCGACACAAATCTTCTATCTTCCACAGGACTGAATGTTCTGCTGTGTATGTTCAATGTTCTTGTTCTTTTTTCCTCCAGTAGGAGGAGCCAAAACTCCTCCATCCCATAGCTTATGACCCCAATTGTTAAAAAGCTCTGCTCCTTTGCTGTTTACTAATTGATTGTTTTAACTCACGCAACCCTAATCCACCTCTTTACTCTGAGGTTTAGGTTATTGGCTGAAATCTCCAGAACATAAGTAATTTGAAATTTAATTCAAGTTATTCCTTTCAGCATCCACTTAAGTTGCCCTTTCTTAGTTCTTTTTAATGTAATTCCCTAATCTGCACAGAAGAAACACATTGGTTTCTAGGATAGTAGTAGGGTTCTCGAGTCCCTGCGTTCTGTTTTTTAAAAACAGAATGCCTACAGTGTGTAAGCAGGCCATTCAGTTCATCAAATCCATACCGACGCTCCAAAAAGCATCCTACCCCATCCCCATCCCCGCATTTCCCATGGCTAATCCACACAGCATGCACATCCCCAGACACTATGGGGCAATTTAGTATGGCCAGTGCACCTAACCTGCACATCTTTGGACTGTGGAAGGAAACTGGACCACCTGGAGGAAACCCACGCAGACACAGGGAGAACGTGCAAACTCCATACAAGACAGTCACCCGAGGGTGGAATCGAACCCAGGTCGTTGGCGCTGTGAGGCAGCAGTGCTGACCGCTGTGCCACCCATGCAGTTGTTGACTTGCTGCTCCCGGCTCCCTGCACCTTCAGTGGAATCAGGGGGAGGACTGAATTTGTTGCTTCAAACATAGTCTGACTAATGCATGATAAAATCTCAGCATAATCTTCAGGCTATCTGTAGCTTCAGTATTCTGTTTCTGTCCAGATGGAGGCTTTGGAGAATCCAGTGGAATTTGTCAGTGATGAATAGGAAGGTTTTGGGATTTTTTTACCTGTGCTCTGTGTTTGTCCATCTGTGTGCAAGTGTGAGCATCATATTAAAAGGTTTTGAGGGAAGTTTTTTTCTCTCTGTAAAATGGAAATGGGAGGTGCCACTGTAATCATTTGGTTCTGCTGGCTAAATGTATGACTGCATTCATCTTCCCATCATTATGCAACGTGTATTGTTCCCTGAGATATATTAGCTTCTGCTTGACTGTCAGCTGGGAAATTAATCACTTCCTGCAGAAGGCAAAGAAGGCAATTTTGTACTCTTCAAACAGGTCATTGATAATGATGAGGAGAGAGAATCTGATTCCCTGCTTGAACATTGATAAAGAATGCTACTGGGGTATTTGTGCCTGACAACCCCTGATTTTCTAGTCCCAGGTTAAAGCCCATGATTTGATGACAGTCTTTCATGTGGGTGTCACAGACACAGCCCTGCTGTGTGGCTGGTATGCATAGCCAAGTGATGGGCTAATTGTTGTAAGCATTCTAACTAACGTTTATGATGTGAATGGTTGTCCTGTCACGCAAGCCGATCTTCCATCCGTTGACTCCTCGGAAAGGCAGCAAACATAATCAAATATCCATCCCACCCTGGTTATTATCTCTTCCAACCTCTTCCATCAGGCAGAAGATACAAAAGCTTAAACACGTACCAGCAGATTCAAGAACCGGATTGTTCCCCACTGTTATTAGACTTCTGAACGGTCCTCTCAAATTTAATATTGCCCTCGCTGTTCGCACACCTCTGCAGCGGTAACATTGTATTCTTCGCTCTGTCCTATTGCTGTTCTGCACTTTTGTATGGTATGATCTGCCGGAACTGCGCGCAAAACAAAACTTTTCACTGTACATTGGCACATGTGACAATAATAAATCAAGTCAAATTTGCTTATTTGTGTGTTTCGACCGTTGGCTGATGCATTGATTTTTGTCTACCCAGGGATGGTCGAGTGATGGGTGTATTGGAGGTGTCGCGTTCCATTGGAGATGGACAGTACAAGCACTGTGGTGTGATATCTATACCAGACATTAGGCGCTGTCAGCTAACGCTCAATGACAGGTACAGTTCAATGGGTAGTTTGCGCCATTAGGCGACTGCTGCTGTTGTTCAGTCTTTTCCTCCTGGGTGCAAATCACATGCAGCAAAGTCTCTCATTCCAGATCTTTAAACTCCAGGTTGGGTTCAGAATCTGCACCTTTTTTGCAGCTGACAAACTGGGGTATGCTTTACCTGTCCATATCCAAGTGATTTTTGCTGAGTACAGTTTGATAACCAAACCCTTGTTCCTATATTTTTAGTTTAGTAATTGTTTGACATACCTTCATATGACCCTCAGCTTGAGAAGGCATTGCAAATAAGTGCCTCTCTTACTTTATAGTTCAAGGTGTAATCAAGTAGATCTATTAAACATAGGTGGATAGGTGATCAAAAATGATTATAATGTTGAATTAAAATACTTACAGGCCAGCCATCCTCAAGATGGGAAATAACAGTATTGCCTGCACTGCAGTGAACAGGAACTGTCCCAAAGTCCCCAGATATTAATCTTACATGGTGGTTTACTGTTTGTTATCTATCCGGCTTATTTACCTGTCTTCAATGTTTTTGTTTGGATCACCAAATTGAACAAGATGCGCGAAGAAACACTTTTCGAAATTTGAGTGGAACAAGAGAAATGCAAATAATGTGTATTTAAGAAAATAAACATACAGAGTACCTTCATGTTTTGTATAGCCTGAACTCTACCTTTGGCTACCCAGCTAGACAAAACATTCTGCGTATTGGAACCAGCTGGGACATTTTTATGAGAGTGAATCTGTATTGAGAACAAAGAGAAAAGCCAATACCATGATGCGTGATTGCAGCCCACAGTTGTAGTGTTGTAATGGAGGCATTTGGCATGGAAAAGGTAAGATCCATCAGAGTGACGTCTTGCCTTTTCTGATATGGCAGTCAGCAACCTGCGATGGGTCAGAGGTTTGAGATTTGATTCTCTTTGTGCCCAAGATGTTTGGGGCTGAAGGAGTATGTAGTGAGCAGGATCCCTATGCCAACCTGAATCTTCACTAGGACAGCAGTGCATTGAACAGCATGTGTTACTTTCTGCACCATCATCCCAAGTTGGGGAGCAGCATCCCTGGTGGGAAAACACAGTGAAATAGTGTTATGTGAGAGAGGAACAGAGCTAACCTTTCAGATCGAATATGATGCTGCACCAGAAATGAAAGGTAAAAATGTGATGGGTTTTATGCGATTGAAGAAGGGAGGGAAGGCAGAGGAAGGTCTGGAATGGGGTACTTGGCAGAAGAGATTGAATGGCAAAAATATCATGGGAGAGAAGGCAAAGGTTACAGGAGTGTTTATAGTAAAGAAATAAAACATTTATTCGGTGAGTGTGAATGGCAGAAAAATGAATAGCTTTGAAAGTTCTGTCTCTGCCACCTTAAAAATCATTTTCTTTTCCTTTTCCTTTTGTGTGTTCAGGAATCCAAACTTTTAACACTTCATGGATACCGATGCTCTTCTTTCTTCTGCTTTGCTTCCCTCTGACCCCATCCATTCTTCTAAGTCCACCTCTTACCATATACTCACAGCGCCATCTGACCTTTTCCTCTTTCACAGTGAACATACTGCTTTGCAAAGGACTCCCCTTCTCACCCTAAGTTAATGAATTTCCGCCTCAGTATAACTTTGAACTCCTCTTCCACCACATTCTTCACTGTAGTCACTTTGCGTAGGAGTCTTCGAGCTGCCCAGTGGTTCCTCAATCCTAACTTTAGTATTCTGTCTCCACCTCCACCCCTTTTTTCTGGTCTCATGCCCATTCTTGATGTTTTAATTGAGAACAATCAGTGTGTAAATGTCTCTGCTGCTCTAACCTGCGTCTCTGAATTTGCTGCATGCTTTTCCCTCAGGTGTGGCTCAGATGCTATGATCAAACCTACTGTCAGGGCTGGTGCTTTTGTCGGATGGTGTACCAATCTCTGCCTTGCAGAGGCAGAGTGCCAACTCTCAGACAGTGCTTCCTCCCTCTCCCAAGGACCATGACCCTGCCACTGAACGTTAACTTCCTGTTTCCAAAGTGGTCACTGGCTTCCACCTCTGGAGATCTTCCCTCCATGGCTAACCACCTCATGGTTGCCCAACCCTAAATAGCCCACTTCCAGCTCCCCATAATCCACAAACCGGACTATCATGGTTGACCCACTGTTTCAGCCTGTTCCTGTATCACTGAACTTGTAACTTACCATCTGGCTGCTATTTCTTTCTCACCTTGCCCAATTTCATCCCACGTATATTTGCCACTGTTCTGCTCCCTATCTCATTTCAAATATGTCCCAGTTTTCTGCCCTATCCATCTCCTCTTCACTATGTCGTCCAAAACACTACAACTCCCTCCCCAGCCAGGATGTCTGGAGGAACTTCTTCCTTGACAGAGGCCCAACCAGTCTCCATCCACAACCATCCTGTCTGTCTGGCTGAAAATTTATTCTCAATTAGTAATTTTTTCCCCTTGCTCCTTTCAAACAAAAATCGTGGCTATTGGTATCCACTTGGTTTAATTTACAACTTCCTTTTAGTGGGTATGTGCAAAATTTTTATTCCCATTCCACTTTTTCCAGTACTCAGCAACTTCACTGTTACCCATTTCTTGTTCTCATCTAGAACTGGAAGATGACATCGTCTTTACTTCTAATTAGCCCCATTCTTCCACCATCATACTGCCCATCTCAGATACCTCCTTTCCCTTCCTCAAATTTGCTACCTTTTGGGGATAGAATGTCTACTAATATTAATTATAGGCCTACCCATTATCACAGCTGCTTTGACTACGAAATAACTACATAGAGACCGGTATCCCGTCACCAAGTCACTCTTTATTTACACATGCACAGTCCTTGACTTCAGTACTGCCTCATTCAGAGTCAGCTATCAGAGTGTCAATGTATCTGACACTTCCCTTTTTTATATGTTAACCAGGGCTCCCTGATTGGGGCTGTTAATTTAGTCTGGTCAGGGAAGTCATAGTCTGAGGTCCAGTTGGCTGAGCTCATTATAATCACTACAGACTGCACTTCCTCACACTGTTTCCGTTACAGCCCTATTCCATTCTTCCTGTTTCTCCGTTTCTGTTGCATCTGTTCTGATGATGCACTGTTCCACAACAGTGCTTCTGATATGTCTTCCTTTCTCCTCAATCAATGATCACAACAACACCCCCCACTCCCCCACGCCAGCATGGTTGACAGGGCCCTCAGTTGTGTTTAGCCCACTTCCTGCACTTTTTCCTCTCACCCCCTTTTTTCGCTGAGAACCAGGGTAGGAGTGCCCTTACAATCACTTTCCACTCCACCAGCCTGCACATTCAAAGCACACCACCAGACACACCCTCCCCTCCCCTGTCAGCATTCTAAATAAACCAGTCTCTTCATGAAACCTTGATCCACACCTTAGTCACCCCTTACATTGTGCTGCCTTCCCATGGCACCATCTCATGCAAGTGCAGGAAATGTGATACCTGCCCTTTTACCTGTCTGTTCATCGTCCAAGGCTGTAAGTATTCCCAGGTGGGGAAGCAGTGATTTATGTGTTTATTATTCATTATTCGCTGCTCACAATGTGGTGTTCTCTATTCGTGCGGAGATCTGTCGTAGACAGGGTAACTGATTTGTGGAACATAATTTAGAGACTTTTTTTTAAAAAATTGTATCCAAGATTAAGAACTCTTCACTGGTTAAGAGTCTGATGATGACTATGAAACCATTGTTGATTGAAAAAACCCATCTGATTCACTAATGTCTTTTTGGGAAAGAAACCTGCCATCCTTAAGTGGTCTGGCGTACATGTGATTCCAGACTCTCAGCAATGTGGTTGACGCTCAACTGCCATGTGGGCAATTAGGGATGGGCAATTAATTCTGGCCTGGCAACATCCGTGAATGAATAATAAAAGCAAAATCTGCAAATGTGACCTAGTTTCAGCTTTCTTGGCATTTTAATTCTGTGCTCCCATTTCTGTTCTTGTCCTGTTGCAAACTTCTATTGAAATGCGCAAACCTGCACCCCATCTTCTGATTGGACACTTTGGAGGCTTCTAGACTCAATATTGAGCCTAAAAATTTCAGAAATCATGAATTCTGTGCCTCATTTTGATTCTGTATTGTTTCCATATGCCGATGTGAATCTTGTTTTTCAAGATTTTGATTTTGGACAGAGCTGCTAATTGTTCAGCCATTCCCACTTGTTCTGGTTAAATACTTTGTTTCTTTACAAGAATCATTGCCACTCGTTTTGCCTTTTTTTTTTCATAACATCTTTTGTCATTTAATCTCTCGCCCTACGTCGTTCTCCTCTCCCTTCTTTCAGCAGCACCACATTTCTACCTTCATTTCTGAAGAAGTTATATTTGAGTGAAAACGTTAGCTCAGTTTCTCTCTCCACACAATTTGTCCGACAGCATGAGTATTCGTAGTAGTTTCTGTTCTTATTTCAGAGTTTGAATATCCACAGTATTTTATTGTCATTATAGACATATGATTGTTTCCTTCTTTCCCTGTGGGCAATCAATTTAGAGAGTTTCAGCCCCAAAGTGTTAACAAATTATTGTACTATTTCCAATGTTATGATCAGAGTACAAGCAGGGCCTATGCAGTATGATTAGGAGGAGCACTGAATGCCTGAGCTGCTGGCCCGCTGAATCCCACAGAGTGAAATGCTATCACAGGAACAGCTGGTGAATCGTGGAATGATATGATGCGATAGCTGGAACAGAGGCATGGTAGCAAAGTATTTGATATGCCGTAAAGACAATACAAAGAGAAGAAAGTGGGGTAGCTCTACTGGCAAAGGATTAGATAGCAAAGTGATGAGAGATGATTTTGGTTCAAGGATCATTTGTGTATAAATAAGAAACAGAGTGTACCTTCAACAACACTCGAAGCTTGACACCATCCAAGTTAAAGCAGCCTGGTTGATTGACAACGTATCCACTCCATCCATGTAGCAGTGTGTACCATGTACAAGATGCACTGCGGAAATCCAAAGATTCACAGATGTTCC